CACACACACACACACACACACACACACACACACACCCATACGGGTCGTTGTAGTGGTAGTAGGTTTTTGTTTTTTGTTTTTTTGCAGTACTAGGGATCAAACCCAGGACCTTCACATTGAGCTACATGCTCAGAGTTCTATTTTTTGAGAAAGGGTCTGGATAAATTGCTTAGTTGCCCGGCTGGGTTCAAACTTGTGATCCTCTTTGCCTTAGCCTCCCGGAGTGCAGGAATTACATGCATGCACTATCACACCCAGTTAGCAGCTTTTCTAAAAATGGGATCATATATCTCTGTAAACATTGCTCAGTGAGAATCCACTTTCATGGTACCATATATTTGTCCACACTTAGTATATTTCATGGATATCTTGTCACTTTAATTTTTTAAAAAGCTCTAACTTTACTTTTTTTTGGCCTTTTTGAGACAAGATCTTGCTATACAGTTCAGGATGGCTCTGAGCTCACTTTGTAGCTTAGGCTAGTCTTGAACTTGTAATGATCCTCCTGCCTCAACCTCCTGAGTGCTGGAATTACAGGTGTGCACCACCACGCCTGGCTTCTAACTTATTTTTGATCACTACAAATATTCCACAAAAAATTACTTATCCAACAATTCCTCTAATGATGAGTATACTATTTGTTTTCAGATTCTAGTTTGTTTTATTTTTCTCTGTAAACATGATGCACTAAACATCCCTGTACGTAATTTCCTGTGCTGATTTTATTACAAAAGAATAGGTTCCCAAGTACAATTCTTTTAGCGCAAATATTTTGAAACTTCTCATCCTAGAACTCTTCTACAGAGTATTTTCTCTTACATAATTAATGACTGTTTCTCTCTCCTTTTTTTTTTTTTGCCCTTTTTGAGACAGGGTCTCACTATGCAGTTCAGACTGGCCTTGAGCTCACTTTGCAGCCCAGGCTGGTCTGAAACTCTCAACAATGCCTCAGCCTCCTGAGTGCTGGGATTACAGGTGTGCACCACCACACCCAGCATGACTGTCTATCTACATGAGGGCAAGCTCTTTTTTTTGGTACCAAGAATTGAACTCAGGACCTTGCACTTGCCAGGCAGGTGCTTGTGAGTTCCTTAAGAGTTCAATCTTAATCATCCTTTAGGTCTTAGCTCAGCTTATATATACTCCTTTTGTAGAGTTTGCTATGAACTCTCATCCAAATTAATTTCTCCATTAAAAGTTTCTTAATTTCATCCTTACTTCTTCAACCCTAGTTTGTATTCATGTTACTGGAGATTGAACTCAGAGCCACAAGTACACTAAGTATCAGCTCTACTATTGAGTTATATATAGCACCAGCTCCTATCTTACTCTTATTCTATTGTTGGACCTTAACTTTTCCCACATAGAATACTGCCACAGACCCTTACCTGGACTCCTTGACTTCAGCCTTCTCTCCTTCAATCCATTCCCTTCATTCCCAAGTGACACTTTCATTTTTTGAGACAGGGTCTTGGTATGTAATTTAGACTGGCCTTGAACTCAGTATGTAACCCAGAGTGGCCTTAAACTTGCTGCAATCCTCCTGCCTCAGCTTCCCAAGTGCTGGGATTACAGGTGTGCGCCACGTACCCAGAATTATGAGTGATACTTTTAAATACAAATTTTACAACACTCTAAAGAGCGTCAAGCCCTTTAGCTTCGTGATATCCTTAAGCTCACTTGGTGAGACACTTTAGAAACTACTCCCATTTACCTTTATAGAGATTCATCTCATTCAGTTCCCCAGCATGAGACCCTTTAGAAACTACTCCCATTTACCTTTATAGAGATTCATCTCATTCAGTTCCCCAGCATGCTTGGGTATGTTTTTCCCCTTTGCTTTGTGAGTGTATCATTCGTCAAGATCTGGTGCAAAAGTCATCTCCTGTCTATAATGGTCCCTGACACTCCTGAGCAGGTTTGAATTATAATTTAGGATTCCTAAAATGGAGAGTAACCTGTACTAGAGAGAGATGAGATAGAAATAAAAATCTTAAAACTTAGAGGTCCTGGGTGGTTTACAGCAAGCTTGAAGACCACACACACCAGGATCAGAGTGCAAGCAGGGACAGAAGGGATTTGTGAGTCAATGCCTTTACTGATATCCAAACATGTTTGCTGCAGAGTTTTCATCAGTTGCTTTAAAGCAGGTAGACATGAGTCCCATCAAGTCAAATGTGACAAGAGATGGTCACTGTGGCATATCTGTACAGTATCTGTACATATCTGCCCCCCAGGAGGCGGTCACCAGGAGGCAGCTGTAGAAAACAGATCTCTCGATTAACCACAGAAGAACTGGGGGTAGATGCAGAACAGGGAACTATGTCAAAGGCAACTGATCCCTGCTTTCTGTATGAAAAAGGACAACTTATAGCTGGGTGTGGTGGCGCACGCCTGTAATCTGAGGCTGAGGCAGGAGGATCGTTGAGTTCGGGGCCAGCCTGGGCTACGAAGTGAGCTCCAGGCCAGCCTGAACTGCATAGTGAGACCCTGTCTCAAAAAGACAAAAAAAAAAGTACAATGTATGACCAACATGGACCTGAGGCCACCCAAAATCGTAAGAAGTGACGATATGCCCAAATCTCTATTCGTGTTTTCAGAAAACTACAGTCCTAACTACAAGGTGATGCTACACACCATCCCTAGTTCCGCTCCTTCCTCAATCGCGAGTTCCTTCGGCACAGAACTGTCTTGTTCACCTCTGGGCTCCAGTCTCACAGACAGACCTAGAATGTGGCATCGTTATGCACTGAGAAAGTATGTTCAACAGAATTTTCTGCACGTTCCTGGGAGCCAGGGGCGCAGACAGACAGGACTTTCCGGAAGAGCTGTTTCGGTGGGACCCAACGCCTCCGAGGTGAGGCGCTCTTCTCAGAGGACGCCTGACTGGGCCCTGGCCGCCACCAGCTCCACTCAGCGAGGCTGACCCGCTCCAGAGTCGACGAACTAACGCCTGGCTAAGGGGAGTCGCTGAAAATGACAGACTGACAGACTGACTAACCGAGGAGAGCAGCAGGTCCCAAACGACGGCCTGGCTTCGTTATCTTCCAAGAGAGGCAGCACACGAATCATTAAGGCCTCGCCACGCACGCACTTCCCGCCTCTCCTCACGCGGCCGCGGACTGGAACAGGGCGGAACTAAGGCGAGCGCCAAGGAGGGCGCGTGCGCGGTGGTCTCACCCCTCCCCCGCGACGCCCCCCCACCCCCTCCAGTTCTCGTGATGCTACCCGCTCACCCTCTCAAGGGTCTCGGAGTGCGCGTGCGCGAGATTCCTCTTTCCCGCCCACTTCCCCAGGGGCCTACCCTCTCATCCTGGGCATGCGCCGATGCGCGGCAGCCTCAATTCCCCGCCCCTCAGGTAGCCCCGCCTTCTCACCCTAGGCCGACGGGAACCTCCCGAAGTGTGCACGTGCGCGCGCGCGGCACCGCCCTCCTAGTCACGTGATCGCTGATTGGGAACGTTTTCCCTACTGCTCTCCTACCTCCGGCTCCCAGAATCCTGCGCTATGGCTGCCGCTGTACCGCGTGTCGCTTCTCTCTCCTCTCTGTTTCCCCTTTTTCTGAGTCTCCTGCTTTTCTCCGCCCCTCATGGCGGCAGCGGCCTGCACACTAAGGGCGCCCTTCCCCTGGATACAGTCACTTTCTATAAGGTAACGGGGGCAGGCAGCACAGCGCACAGGTGCAGCCGGCGCGTCCTGGGGAGCGCACGCCCGTGGGGGACGTGGGCCCTGCGGGCTGGCGAAGGCAGTCTAGTTGCGACAACCGCAGCACTTCCCACGATCCTATCGGCCCGGTGGGGTCTGGGCCTGGGGCAGACCCTGACCTCGGAGCACACGCGCTTCGGGGGCCCGGCGCACCCTTGTCTGTCCAGCATTTATCCCTGCTTCCTCTTTTACAAAAGCGCTGCAGCGATGCTCTCCGGGTGCCACTAGGTGCCCCTTCGCTTCACCTAGGCGGGGGGCACGGTGCCGGGCTAGATCCAGTCGTCGAGTCCCAAGTGGGAGACCAGAGGATGAAGCGAAGTCGACAGTACCCAGCCTCCTGTTGCGGTAACAGTGGCAGGAGAGCTCGTTCATGTGATTTCTGGGCCTTTCTTTGAGGATGGATTGCAACATGCGTTGCAACACGTAAGCCCTAGGGACACATTACGCATTGCCTAGGAAAGTGTAGGCATTGAGTATAAGCCGGAGTTCAGCCATCCTGCAGGGAACATCTTGGGTCTGAGAACAAAATGAGTAAAATAGGGTCAAGGCATGGAAGGCATTTGGGATCCTGGTCCGCGTGAATGGACGGTGGAAATGTTGAATACAACACCTACCTGTTCCCTTTCTTTCGCATCTGTCTTCAGTCACTAACAGTTTTTAACTTCCTCTAGATCGGCAAGCTAAGTGTTGCGAGATACTATGGCCGGTCATTTATTTTTTGTACCCCTTGTGGGGAAGTGAAACCGAAGTGGAGTTCTAATGTATCTCTCGCAAGTGGTTGAACTCTTATTTTTGAAAGAGTTGCTTGTTGTGGACTTGGTAGTTGTAGTTCCTTCAAGACAAAGTCTCAAAGAAGTTAAAAAGACACGAATGGATGGTTGGTTGACAGGCACACACCACTGGTGCCTTGTGTTTTTTGGTCCTTTTTTTGACAAGGTGGGAATCGGGTAATGTCACAGTCCAGGTGTGACTCAGAGTTGAGGCTGAACAGTATCTTCTAGTCTGTTGGTGCCTCTCTTGTCTTTGCTACTCTGCATTGCTCTAGGCTGTCATTTACTGTAGACTCCTCACTGGCCTCTCTGCTTCCACCTTTAGGCTCCACACAGCAAGTCCTCTGAGCTCTTCTCTCATCACCCCCACCCGACTCCCACGTCTCCCCTGTTCCAGTCATACAGGCCTGCCTTCTCTCTGTCCTTTGAATGCTCCTAGCTCATTATTACCTTTGGGCATTTGCACTAGCTGTTCCTTACGACTGCAACATTCTTTGCCCAGTCTCTGAAAGGCATTGTTGAGGTTTAGGTTAAAGGTTACCTGCTCAGAGCCTGATTATAATTATAGAAGAGTTTTCTCAAGGATGAGGGAAGGGGAGAAATTTGGAAAGCAATTAAGAGAAAAGCTGCAAGCCAGGGGCTGGGGATATAGCTCAGTGGCAGGGCACTTGTCTAGCATGTGTGAGGCCCTGGGTTTGAGCCCCACAAAAAGCAGGGACCTAAATTAACACAAATTAATGTAATCAGTAAGTGCTTTTTTTTGTTTGTTTTTTGTTTTTTT